AGAGAGAGAGAGAGAGAGAGAGAGACAGAGAGACACAGAGACAGAGACAGAGACAGAGACAGTGAGATAGATGTTTTTTTTTTATTTATAGAGGTTTAAAAAAATACTTTTTACGTACGCACTTGGGTCCGGGATGAAGATTGCCGGAGTGCAGTGTCGGGATTGGTCAGGTCTTGTGGTAGTATTGACCTCGAACCGCCATGGTTGGTGAGACCTGACATGTATTGGTTCGGCGAATATGCAACCCGTACCGACTAAAAAAACATCCTCTACACCTGCCTCCTGTTCCCCATGGAATTGCCGGTAGGCACTACAGCGCGGGGGGAGGATTCAGCCTTAGCTCTTCCTTCAGATAATCGAAATCATTGCTTCCTTCCTCTTACATGTTCTTCTTTTTCCTCTTATTTTTATTTCTCTNCCGCCAGTCACTTTGTACTCCTTGGGGCCATCGTCCGTGTCGTACTTCAGGACCCTATCGGTGAAGTAGCTTCCCACCATTCTCCGCAGGTATCCCGGCACCTTCATTTTTGTGAGATNGTTTCATCCATACGTCCACCTGCGGGATCAGGCGGTGAGTCCATCTCCCTGTGCTCGAGACCTCCCACAGCATCTGCCATCGGTGCAGGCTGTTGGTCCTCTCGTCCATCCTGAGTTTAACTGCTCCAAGTGTTGTTGTCCCCTTCCGCCGGTAGAGGCATCTTCGTTCCTCTGCGAGTACTCAGATCGGCAGCATTCCGGCGATAACACACACGGCATCCTCCGACACCGTGCGGAATGCCACTCTGAGGGCGCTCAGCCGATAGACCGACGCCACTTTCCGTCGTGCATGCTGGATCAGCAGCGCATCAGCCCAGATGGCAATGCCATATTTGAGGACCGACGTAGTTACCGACGACAGTAACGCTCTCCTCTTCTGCTTTGGGCCTCCGATGTTGGGCATGAGCCGTGACAGGACAGTCCCAACTCCGGACGCCTTGGTACCGACGTGCTCTGCCTGCTGCTTGAAACTGAGCCGGGCATCAATCATCACTCCCAGGTACCGTAAAGATGGTTGGGAGGTGATTTCATGGTCCCCAACTCGCAGCGTGATGGTTTCAATCTTCTGCCTGCTCGTGATCAACACGGCCTCCGTCTTCTGGTCCGCCAACATCAGTCCCACTGAGACCATCCATTGGCGGGTCATCGCATAGGTGATCTCAAAGATGTAATTGATCTCCTCCAGTGTTTTGGCGACGACTACGAGAGCCACATCATCTGCATACGCGACGAATGTAGCTCCCTTCGGCAGCTTCAGCTTCAAGAGACCGTCATACATGATATTCCACAGGAGTGGGCCAAGTACTGAGCCCTGAGGAACACCGCCAGTCACTTTGTACTCCTTGGGGCCATCGTCCGTGTCGTACTTCAGGACCCTATCGGTGAAGTAGCTTCCCACCATTCTCCGCAGGTACCCCGGCACCTCCATTTTTGTGAGAGCCTCCATGATACAGTCCCATCTGGCGGAGTTGAAGGCATTTTTGATGTCTAACGTTACTACCAGACAGTACTGCTTCGTACCATGTTTCCACCTTTCGCCGGATATTGCGTCCCGTGCGATGGAGACGACTCGGTCGATGGCATCCAGGGTGGAACGACCCTTGCGGAAACTGTACTGGTTGTCAGCCAGTTGCGGCTCGACCACTTCCTCGATTGNTCTGCCATCGGTGCAGGCTGTTGGTCCTCTCGTCCATCCTGAGTTTAACTGCTCCAAGTGTTGTTGTCCCCTTCCGCCGGTAGAGGCATCTTCGTTCCTCTGCGAGTACTCANTGTCAGCCAGTTGCGGCTCGACAACTTCCTCGATCCTCTGATGGATAATGCGCTCCAAGATCTTTCCAGCGGTGTCCAGCATGCAGAGTGGACGATAGGACGAAGGTTCGTCCGGTGGCTTCTTTCCCTTGGGGAGGAGCACTAATCTCTGCTGCTTCCACTTCACAGGGAAAACTCCCTCCTGAACACACGCATTGTATACACTCAAGAAGATTCCTGGTGCTGCGTTGATGGCTACTTTCAGGGCAACGTTGGGGATTCCATCCAGTCCTGGAGCTTTGGTGTTTCCGAACCGGCCGCAGGCTTCCAGCATCTGCTCAGACGTTACTGATGGGATCGTCTCTATCTCGTACTCCCCAGTAGAGAAGTCGAGAGCCCGTTGTTGTGGGAACAACACCGAGACAATCTTCCTCAGGAGCACGGGACACGTAGGTGTCGGCATCGGCTGGTTTTTCAACCGCTTCATAACGACACTATACGGTCTCCCCCACGGATCCCCCTCGACTTCGTCAAGGAGCTCATTCCACGACTAGCTCTTACTCGCTTTGATCGCTTTGTTGAGTGTCCGGCGTGCCTCCTTGTAGTTGGCCTCCAGTTCTTCGGAGTTCGGCTTCTTTCNCAGTAGAGAAGTCGAGAGCCCGTTGTTGTGGGAACAACACCGAGACAATCTTCCTCAGGAGCACGGGACACGTAGGTGTCGGCATCGGCTGGTTTTTCAACCGCTTCATAACGACACCATACGGTCTCCCCCACGGATCCCCCTCGACTTCGTCAAGGAGCTCCTTCCACGACTGGCTCTTACTCGCTTTGATCGCTTTGTTGAGTGTCCGGCGTGCCTCCTTGTAGTTGGCCTCCAGTTCTTCGGAGTTCGGCTTCTTTCGACCCCGTTGTGCCTGCCTCCTCGCCCGAATGCATTCCTTGCGAAGGGCAGCAATGTCATCGTTCCACCAGTAGACCGATGGGAGCCTGTCCGCACTGGGTTTTCGAGGCATGGTAGCATCGCAGGCTTCAGTGGCTCTCCTCATGACTTCTTGTGCCTTCTCCGTAGCATTGCTGCCGCAGACCGGGCGGTTGTTGAATATCTCTCGAAAGGTGCCGGGATCGAAGGCGTTCGTTTTCCAACCTACGGTGTTGGTCCTCCTGGGTGCTGGTCCAATCTTCCGTTGGGTAGATACCTCCCAGAAGATAGCATGATGGTCGCTGGCGGTGTAGATGGCCATCTNGAAAGGTGCCGGGATCGAAGGCGTTCGTTTTCCAACCTACGGTGTTGGTCCTCCTGGGTGCTGGTCCAATCTTCCGTTGGGTAGATACCTCCCAGAAGATAGCATGATGGTCGCTGGCGGTGTAGATGTCCATCACCTCCCAAGAGCAGCTTCCCCTGACGAGGCTGCTGCTCACGAAGGTGAGGTCCACGATTGAACTCGCCCCTCCTCTTTCGAACGTTGGTTTCTCACCACTGTTTAGTAGGACCACGTCCAGTGAGGACATGGCCTCTAGCAGCGTTTGTCCCCTCTTGTTCGTCTCCTTACTGCCCCAGTCAACTGCCCAGGCGTTGAAGTCCCCCGCGATTGCCACGGAGAAGTGTAGCTTCCGGTCCTCGGCCAGTCGGTCCAGGAGGTCTGTAAACTCATCGATAGATACGCTAGGACNTCCTGGGTGCTGGTCCAATCTTCCGTTGGGTAGATACCTCCCAGAAGATAGCATGATGGTCGCTGGCGGTGTAGATGTCCATCACCTCCCAAGAGCAGCTTCCCCTGACGAGGCTGCTGCTCACGAAGGTGAGGTCCACGATTGAACTCGCCCCTCCTCTTTCGAACGTTGGTTTCTCACCACTGTTTAGTAGGACCACGTCCAGTGAGGACATGGCCTCTAGCAGCGTTTGTCCCCTCTTGTTCGTCTCCTTACTGCCCCAGTCAACTGCCCAGGCGTTGAAGTCCCCCGCGATTGCCACGGGGAAGTGCTGCTTCGCGTCCTCGGCCAGTTGGTCCAGGAGGTCCGTAAACTCATCGATAGATAGGCTAGGTGGAGCATAGCAGCTGTAGAAATAAATTCCATCCAGCTGAGCTCTCACAAAGCCGCTCTCCGTCGTGTTGGCAATGCTCTGGAATGGGTACTTTCCGCAGGAACAGATAACGGCCTTAGCGGTGGTATCCGTCTCCCATGATTGAGCGTTGAGATGTCTGTACGGCTCCGAGATCATGACGAGGTCGGGCTTTAGCTCCCGCACCGACTGCGTGAGCAAATCGTGTGCGGCCTCACAATGATTGAGGTTGAGCTGCAGTATTCTCATTTTCGTTTCTTCGTTACCGCCTGGACTGCCTCCTTGTACACTGGGCATCTGCTGCTACCAGCGATATGGGTACATTTATCCGTGCGGCCCTTCGCGACACAGAGGGCGCATTTGGCGTCTGTCTGACATTTGGAGACCAGGTGGCTACCCTCCCCACATTTGATGCAGAGTTTAGAGCGGTCCACCTCGCCCTTGCAGTGATTGGCGAGATGTCCGAAGTCCCAGCACTTATAGCACTTCAGGGGTCTCTCCACTCCTCTAATCCGGCAGTTAACCCAGCCAATCTTGATTTTGCCATGCTCTCCGGCAATCTTCTTCGCCGTTGCCACAGGCAATTTCACCCAGGCCGTCTGAGTGCCTCCGTGAGCCTTCCGCAACGATTTGACTGCGTTCGTTGGGACTCTGGAGTTCTCTCCGGCGGCCACCACCAGTGCTGCGAGATGACGGCGTTCCCGTCTGTTCTTCCCCATCGGTGTCCTTCAGCGTCGTCTCAGAACCTCTTCTTTCGTCGTGGTCTCGTCGAGATCCTTTATCTCCAGTTCTTCCTCCGGTGTTTTATTAATAACCTCAGCCTCCTCGCCGAGGAGTTTGGTTATGGCCTCCTGCAGGACTGGGACCTTGTCGGCGTTGGTCTTCGTGAGGACAATCAACATGTCCCCTGTGGCCGTCTTCCGGATCTTGTCCACACACTGTTGGGACGCTCCAGCCGATGCGTCCTGTTTCATCCGTTTAAGGATGTCGGCGTATGCCGCCTTGTCCTTCGGGCGGATGATGAGNGAGAGAGTGAGAGAGTGAGAGAGTGACAGAGTGACAGAGTGACAGAGTGAGAGAGTGAGAGAGTGACAGACTGAGAGAGTGAGAGAGTGACAGAGTGAGAGAGTGAGAAAGTGACAGACTGAGAGAGTGAGAGAGTGAGAGAGTGAGACAGTGAGGAGTGAGAAATTGAGAGAGTGAGAGAGTGATAGAGTGAGAGAGTGAGAGAGTACCAAAGTGAGAGAGTGAGAGAGTGAGAGAGTGAGAGAGTGAGAGAGTGAGAGAGTGAGAGAGTGAGAGAGTGAGAGAGTGAGAGAGTGAGAGAGTGAGAGAGTGAGAGAGTGAGAGAGTGAGAGAGTGAGAGAGTGAGAGAGTGAGAGAGTGAGAGAGTGAGAGAGTGAGAGAGTGAGAGAGTGAGAGAGTGAGAGCGTGAGAGAGTGAGAGAGTGAGAGAGTGAGAGAGAGAGACAGAGAGGGTGAGAGAGTGACAGAGTGAGAGAGTGAGAGAGAGGGAGAGAGAGGGAGAGAGAGGGAGAGAGAGGGAGAGAG